GTTAGAAGAGCCCTATGTTCAACAATGGACGTGAAAAGAGGCTCTTCGATGCTGACCCTTGTGAAATCATCAAATTATAGTCATGAAGCCATTCAATCTTATTGGGATGTCGTAACGTGAAAATACGGCGAATGCGCCATAGAGCCATGCAAGTTACATCAATTAGCTAAATGGGATCTGGAATACAAGTTGTACTTTTCACTTGATTCCTTCATTATCGCTATCTTGAAAATCTCTTATCTTTACTTAATTACATATACCGCTGATTTAGTAAATTAGTAACAAAGTAATATATCAAAAATTTTCTTGCAAATAGGGCATTCGACACAAATGGAAGTTCAAATCCCTAGAAATTGAAGGGGCTTGTTACTTTAACGAACTGAAGAGCTGTATCCATTCGATAAGAGCAAATAGGAGAAACTGCTAAAGTCTCGATGAAGGAACTTTTATAAAAAATACCAGAATCAAACAAGGAAACTTGAAAGAAGTACGTGAATCTTACTGCTGCGGAAGAAGGGAACATTTTAAGCGTGACGGTAAAGTACGGTTAAGGTCTCGCTTTTCTTTTGATGATTCTCGGCCAATCGAGAGATTACAATAGATTTTTAAAACAAACATCGTTTTAACTTATCCAGGTATCAATATCCAGTAGGTAGAAAGAGACAAGACCTCTACATCAGAATTGATCAGCACGAAATATTTTTTTTAGAAGTCTTCGATTTGGATGGAAGTTTCAAACAGCTTTGACAATTAGATGATAGGGATATAAAACCATAGATCGCCAACAAATAGGGGAATTTTTAGAGAATTCTCGAATTGAATAGGTATTGTTCTATATATAAAGCGCGCGTAGCATGTTAGTCAGTAAGACAGTGTGAATAGGAGAATTTTATTGTATAAATACAAATAATAGCGTTAAGTGATCAGTGAAATCTCTAAAGTCAAATTAGTTTAATAAAAGTTATTGTAAGTAATGTAATGATTAGTACCAGTTGAGTAAGAAATATTACAATAATATACATTCCTCAGCGAATACCGATATACTTTTGTCATTAGTTTTTCATCAAGTATACGGCATCTTAAATGCAAATTGCCTCCATCTTCCACTCATCATAATAATATGATGAGAATTCGGACAAAAAGTTAACCAAGGCAGACAGCGCAGACCGCCAAGCGGCGAAATAATCATAAAATTTAAAATACAAAAAAAAAAAATTAAAAAAATAAAATAAAACGAAAAGACCCTGTAAATAATGAGATTATTTTCAATGTGGTCTGGGGCCCATCCATTCGAGATTCGAAAGTTGATTTACTGCCCAGTGTCAATAAAAATTTAAATCATATACTATAAACTGATACATCACTGGCGAAGGACTATAAAACATGTCCGACAAAAACAAAAATGGACTTTAAGGCCCTCCCGATATATTAAATCGGCTTTAATTATTATTAAAAGAAGTTTCGAGGTTAATTGTATTTAGTAAAAATGATTTATTGTCGATTTTTATGTGTGGGTTTTTGTGAAATAATAAAAGCAGTTGCCTTTAACAGCGAAACTTTAATGGGCGAATGGGGAAATATGAAAATTATAGTGCTAATGGTTTCGAGACGCAATTAAATAACACCAATAAAACGGGTCATGTGAACTGGTCTTAACTTATATGGTTCTCTTTGTAAAGACTTTTTTTCCAGCGAGATTAAATAGTTAACATTGAAAATTAAATACGAACTATGTATACTTATTCATTTTATGTCTAGCACTATTCGTTATTGAGAGGATATTTCGATGGCAGCTGCTGAACTTACTAGTGTAATAAGTATTTCCATAGCCAACGAACACTACCTAGTGGGAACCTAACAATAGACACAATGAAATAAGCCACCAAGTTAATTGATAATTGAATGTCACAGAATAATCAATAAACGTTAGAGTTAATCCAGAACTCAAGAACCGATCGTATTTGATATTTTTACATGGCGCAGTCGTCGTGGAATTGGAGGGCATGTACTATATGCTTTTGTGGGTAAATAATATTTTTGTTAATACCTAAGCGAAGTATCTAAACAAAAACTAAAATGTCTGATGTACGAATTCCACAGCCCATCGTTCGAAGGTAATGTGGCTGAAAATTTTCGCAAGTTTAAACAGTTCCTTGAAATATATTTGCTTGCTAGTGGCAAAAGTAAGAAAGAAGATAAGGTGAAAATAGCTCTGTTGCTTAATCTTGTGGGAGAAGAAGGCTTGGAGGTGTACAATACTTAAAAATTGACTGAAGCTGATAAAGATGACTTTGAAAAAGTATTGTTGGAGTTTGAGAAATACATGTGTATGTAACGTTCTTATTCTATAATCGGAAGCAGAAAGAGGGTGAACCATTTGATCATTTTTTAACAGAGCTAAAGAAACTTTCTAAGACCCGTGATTTTGATGCCTCTTGTGACTCTATGATTAAAGATAGAATTGTATTTGGTATACGCAGCTCAGAATTACAAAAACGATTATTGCATACCGAGAATTTAACTTTGGAAAAGGCCATTGACAAGGTGTCGAGCTATAATGAGCTCAACTGAAAGATGATCAAGATCAAGAGGAGAAGGTAAAGGCGATTAGAAGTCAGAGAATTGTGAAACAAGGAGATGGTAGAGGTAGACCTAGTGCTGGAGCCGCTAGAGGCCTAAGTGATCAAAAGCAGAACTCGTTCGATTGTGGAAGCTGTGGTTTTAAACATAGTCCCAGGAAGTGTCCTGCTTTTGGCAAGAAATGTAATAGGTGTAAAAAATTTGGACATTTTGAAAAGATGTGTCGTAGTCGATATGGACAGTATCTGAGAGCAGTTGTTGAACAAGAAGATAAGTCAGAAGATGAGAAAGACAAAGAGAATGAAGGGTACTTCTTGACAACGATAATGGTAAAAGAAATTACAGATAGAAATGAATGGACGGAAAAGGTGATAATAGATAGCCAGAATGTTGTTTTTAAGATTGACACAGGATCACAGGTAAACATTATTCCTCTAAATATTTTACAAAAAATTAAAAATAAGCAGTTTTCTCGCTGTAAATCAAAAATAGTTTTAGAAACATATGGTGGTTTTAAAATTTCACCTTTAGGTGTAGTTGATTTGGACTATAAATATAATGATAATAATTTTAACCTTAAATTTATAATTGTCAAAGAAAAATCCATGCCTATTCTTGGATTAAAATCTTGTATGCGAAAGTGAATATGGTCGATTTGAACAAAAGTAAACCCGAATTCGTAAAAAACAACATGGATGTATTCGATGGTCTAGGCAAATTTCAAAAAATATGTAAACTGAAATTAAAAAATGGTTCTGAACCCATTGCTAGGCCACCTAGGAGGATCACTTAAAGATCGGTTAAAAGAACATTTGAATGATTTGGTTCATCGTGTAATAATTGCAAGGTGTGAAGGTCCCACTGAATGCTTAGTAACTTAGTCATGGGAGAAAAAAAGGATGAATCTCTTAGGCTTTGTCTAGAGCCTAAAGATCTTAATTTCGATTTACAAAGAGAGTTTTGTTTAATACCAACATTAGCTGATATAAGTGCTTAATCAAAAAGAAATCATATTTTACAGTTTTGGATTTCGAAGAGGGGTTTTACCAAGTTGAGCTTGATGAGTATTCGAGTAAGCTTTGCTCTTTTGGAACTCCTTTTGGAGCTTATAGATTTTTACGCTTGCCGTTTGGGCTCAATTGTGCCCCAGAGTTTTTTCAACAAATAAATAATGATAATTTTTCCGACATTCGTGGAGTAATAGTTTACTTTGACGACTTACTTATAGCAGCTGATAGTTTGGAACTTCATGACAAAATTTTGAGTTCTAGAGAGAGCTAGAAATTTTGGTGTTAAATTTAATAAAAATAAAATTCAATACAGAGTACGAGAAGTTGTATATTTAGGTAACATATTTTGAAATATGGTATGCGACTAGATGAGGAAAAAATTAAAGCAATTTTGTTGCTTGATCAGCCCAAAAACAAAAAAGAATTACAATGTATGTTGGGTATGTATAATTATCTTAGAAATTACATACCAAATTTGTCAGATATCTCAACTCCATGTCATAGAATAATCAATAAACGTCAGAGTTAATCAAGAACTCAAGAATCGATTGTGTTTGATATTATTACAGCTAGAATTTCTTCAAGATAAAGGGTTTCTAGATTGTTTATATTTTACTCTGACATCACAACTTTGCTTCTGAGGAAGTCTTAATAAAATGTTTTCATACTGTGTTTTTTAATCCCAGGGTATAAATAAATGTATCAGAAATGTTATGCCTATGAGTAGTATAATTCACAGTATGCCTCATGAAACCCGAAAACCCATTGCTTGACGAAGGGATTTTCTGAGTGGATGGGCGATACTGATAATGGTAGATCAAACCTTTCGAATGGGTTTTCTTGAAGAATAAGTTCATGAAAATTCTGTATGTGTGTACGAATGAGGCTAATGAAAGTGTCGGGTCACTCTGTAAGGGGTTTAAAGGATTAAAATTTCATCGGTTTGATTTATCGTACCTAGTCATTAAAAAATAAACCATTTTTATGTCTCAACTTCATTGAGCTCCAACTTGCCTGAACAGTGGCACACCCAGCAAATATGTTTGAGAGGGGGGCTACATAGGTTGTGCGGCTTGTGACGTGACAGAAAATCAAAAAAACAATTTGAGTTGTTAGGGCCTTGAAGTTGCTACATTTTTTAAACGTAAAAATACAGTATCGGAGGGGGGCCCTTTCCCGATAGCCCCCCTCCCCTGGATGCGCCACTGTGCCTGAATCTCAAAATCATTTCAAACTGCAGGGAAAACTTTCAAACATAATGAAATATTGATACTTACAAAAGGAAAAATTTCTAATTAGACTCAATACAGGAAAAAAAATAATATATAATACCAATATGAACATGTCATATTATGTCCGTATCTAGTTTTAATCCGCCTATATATATATAGTATAAAAATATCTACTTACTGTGTCCTTAGCGTGAAAGCCGCAGAAGTAATCGAAGAGGGTAAGTGAAGCCCCTTGATAATTTCTTGCCAGAGTTTCTTATTGATGACGTCAACTAATCCCCCTCGCGCGATTACTAGATTGTATAACTCGTACAGATCTAGAACTGATTTGGCCATGATTGGAAGTCGATTTATCGGGGTACCTGAAAAAGAAATTAATCTTCATTAAAATTTGATCGACACATGTCGCCTTTTGTCTATATCGGTTTTAAGAGGAAATGTCATTTAATCTTCCCAAAATGACTTTGGATTGTTAATTCGTTTTTAATTGAAATAGTCATTATATACAGCCTATTAATTACTTTTTAATATCCTTCTTTATTATTATCTGAGCTATTTTTTGTTATAGAATAGACACAACTAGGTCTATATTACGAAATCAACTGAAACAAGGCGTCTAATTATCACCTGTGGCGTTCAAAGAAATCTATATGTGATTCATCTAAAAGAAAATCATTATATACGACAATAAGTCCGTTATTCCATTAAAATTAAGAACCCATTCTATTGTTTATTCAGCACGAAATTAATGCTAAAATCTTTTTATTATAGCGGATATTTACAATTGGTTAAACCTTAATTGTAAAATAATGTTTGCTTTCTATGGTGTTATGTGTGTGGAAATTTAGTCGGAACAAATAAGAGATAATCATTTCTCGAGTTATGATATTATTTAATACGAATAAAGTTCCATGGGAATAAATGAAATTGATTGAGAAATTCCTATGTTTTTAACGAAATGAAAGAAATTTGTTTTTTTCGTATAGATAAGACTTCAATGTGTCACCCGGAAAAATAATATTGACTTTTTCATATGTTTCAGATGAATAATCAGCACGAAATTGGAGTGATGGTTTTGACCAACAGAATAGCAACAAACAGGCATATAAAGGTTACTACAAATCAATAAAATCAACGCAGAAGAGAGGAAAACGTATTTTGTAAAACTATGCAAAGAAAACAAGAATAAGACATAAACATAGAACTAACACATAATAAGTCTGATATAAAACATTTTTAAAATTGAAGATCAGAGTCTGTCACAAGAAATAACGTAGTGAAGATTGAAAAGTTAGGAGCCAAAAATTTTATATTGCTGTTACCAAAGCTTACACTTCTTTTGGAAAACGTTTTCAAAATATTGTCTTGGGAGCACACAGGAATATATAATTGTTTGACCTCAGCTTTGAACTAATCATGGAAGAACTGAATCCATGAGAAAAGAACCAAATTCTAATTGGAGATCCTCTTAGGGTCTTATAAGGATGCGGCCAACATGTTTTCGTACTGTGCAAAACAAAAACTAGAAGTTCTTGGAAAATTTACAACAGAATTGTCCCACAAAAATAACACAACAGAAGCAGTAATTCTTGTAGTGAATGGAGAATGTCAATCACTTTTAAGTTTCAACACCTCCTTGCAACTCAAATTAATACACACGACCAACAGTGTTTCTACAAAAATTAACCAAGATTATGTCAAGAACAAATACCCAGAGATATACACAGGTGTACGAAATTTTTCAAACTTTGAAGTCCATCTACACATAGACAAAAATATTAAACCAATAGCGCAAAAACATAGGCGAATTCCATATCACCTAAGGGAAAACGTGGAAGCCGAAATTAATCATTTGGAACAAGCAGGCATTATTGAAAAAGCAGAAGGCCCTACGCCATGGGTATCTCCAATTGTCATCCAACCGAAACACAACAAAGACTTAATTCGAATTTGTGTTGACATGAGGTTAGCTAACAGAGCAATAGTACGTGAAAGACACCTAATACCCACTATCAGTGACGTCATTACCCAGCTTAATGGTGCAACCCAACCGAAAGGACAGCTAGCATCAGCTGACTATAAACAAAGATAGCAGATACCTACATAACAACATTTTCAACGGATGTAGGTCTCTACAGATATAAAAGTATAAGTTTTGGCATAAATGCTGCTGCGGAAATATTGCAAAATGCAATTAGACAGATTTTAATAAACATTGCTGGAGTTTTGAATTATAGTGACGATATTTTAGTATTTGGCAACACTGTAGATCACAACCAGTCTCTAGAAGCTATGTTCTGTGTTACAGAAATTGAAAGAATGCAACCTTACAATTAACAAATCAAAATGGGTATTCAGTGTAACGAAGGTAAAATTCTTTGGATAAACGAGACGAGATGGAGTCCAACCAGATCCGGATAGAATAAACAACATTGTAGATTTAAAGCCACCAGAGAGCCCAATATAAGTACGAAGCCTTTTGGGTATGATGAACTATGTGGCAAAGTTTTTACCGAACCTAGCTGATAAGACCAAAATCCTCAGAGATCTATAAAGTCTTCTGTAAGATTTTCAAATAATGAAGGTGGCTCCACCTGTGCCTGTGCTATAAACAGCAAATTGAAAGAGCTCTAGGTCCGCCGAAAATTACGTTAACTGTGTTATTTTTTGCCATAATATCATGACTTATTATTAAATCAGTGCAGAGTCTTGCTTGATAGAACTAGAACTTTTAGATTAGTATATAGCATTCTTCAAAAATTTGCAGATCAATAAAACAATATCCTTTTATTCGCGAATTGCAAAAAGTAGATGCCATAGACACTTCCTTGGCAAGTAAATATTTTGAATTTATTTTTATTTGCAAAATCTAAATCTAGAAAAGTGGCTGAACTTCTAGTTTCTAATAAAGCATTTGCCTTTATATGGCTTATGGATAATAAAGTCTGCTTTTTTTTTAAAGATAATAGTCAAAATGACAATGTTGGCAATACAATGTAAAATTGTCATGCTTTCAAATTTTTTATGTAGAAAAGGCCAACATAGTTACTAAATTTTTTACTCGCGGAATTATCTTTAAAAAAAAAACAGACTTTACAATTATATCTTTTGATAAGCATTGCGGAGATTTCGTAAAAGTTGAAGATATGCAAAATGTTGAAGCTGATGTCGGTTTATTCTTTCATAATTTGGATTTGATGCATACCTTAGAAAAATGTTCAAGTTTCTGGCAATAAGTACATGTTTTATCACGAGCAGGACACATAGCACGTGGGTGTCTTGGATTTCCACAGAAATAACATTCTTGTATACGACGTGAAGCGCTTGCAGAAGCTTACTGCTCTTGATTTTTAGGTATAGTTTCTATTGCACTTGTTTCAGTTAAATAGGCTGCATTTATCGATTTTTGAGGCGTAAAATACAGCTCAGATTCTTCTAAGGTTCTGGATCGTGATATAGCTTCTTCTAGTGTTAATGTATGAGACTAATAGCCTTTGACGAATTTTTGATTGAAGTAATCCGCTTATAGATAAAGCATCTCGTATAAACTCATTTCGATTCTGTTCAGCAGTTAATGATTTGATATTGCAGTCTTCACTTAATAAGTTTTTAAGGCCTGAATATATTGGTCAATAGTTTCATTCAACTGTTTTCTTGTAGAAAGTTGATGTCTAGCAAACACTTCATTTATAGGTTTTATACATGAATTCTCTAAAATCTGTATAGCAACTGTATAAGTTTTAGCTTCACTAATGTGACACAAAATTTATTAAAAGTTCCAACTTATATCTATCTCCTAGCGTCTTGTCTTCAATTGAATTTTTCTCCAAAAAATGTTTGAAAGTTTCATACCAATGTCGATATTGTTTTCAAGCAGTGGAGGAATTTATAACAAAAAAGGTATTACTAGTAGCTATTCATTAGATACAGGTGATAATGGAATGCATTAGAAATAACATATCACAATCCCCAGGTTTTGCCTGCAAGGGTTCGGCATGCCCATGAGAGCCCTTGTAGTCTCGGTCACGACTCCTTCAATGTATTTTTTCCATCTGACTTTGCATTTCAGCGTTATGCCGAGATATCTGACTTGTCACGGATGTTATAGTACAGCAGGTCGTTTTTAATCTGATACTCCAAATCTTGTTAAGATTTGCAGGCGGCCGGTTGGTGAACGTGTATATGGTTGACCTTGGAATTGTGTTTGAGAAGGGTTTTGCACTTTGAATTTTGTCCCTCACAAAGTCCCTCTAAATGGTTTCGCCCATCTCCTTAACTCCCTTCAGGCACCTAGCAACAACGGGATCCATGACCTCATCCAATGTGACGAGTTTTGTACTTGTTTCTTTAAATGGATTAATAATTTTTCAATTCTGTACTACATTGAGAAGGACTTTTAGGTGTTTAAGAAATTTTGTCTGTTCTGCAGTAGAAGATGTTCCTTAATATTTAGGGATGAATGATTCAAATTACGTTCAAAATCATCTATTAACCTCAACATCTCAGGTTTTGAAATCTCGATGACCTCCTTCTCTTCTTTCTGTCCATATAGACCTTTGGATCCACTATCTGCCTTTAGGAATTGGATACTATGCTCGTGGCTCTGATCTGGTGCCATGAGAGAATTATTTTTTTCACTACGTTGAACGCCAAACTGTCCTTTCATAAATGCTTCGTGGACACTTGGATGGGTATGTTGTAAACGTGTCATGTCATTCAGAATAACCGGGAGCCAGCGGGAATAGTTTGTGTGACCGGAGACGAAAAGCCATGGGCAAAGTACTTCGAAGGAACTCTTAGAAAGTAACCAATTACCAATTCGCTGGCCTCTGACGAAACGATAAATCAACAGATGAATGTCTCTAATAGTAAAGTCTCTAATAGTTACTCAGTAATGAAAAGTTGGTGATTTTGTAGTAAGTGACTTTTCCCAGACCTCCATGGATTCATGCGGCTCAGATACTTCTTGACAGTGCTTCAACTTCTAGGACGTGTAGTCATGCAAGAGTAAGTTGGTAAGCATACCTAGTACGCTTGACATGCTTACCACCAAGAAGAGACACTGCGATTCCGGAGTTGAATACTTGCTATGGAAAACATCCGATCCCGTCCTGATCCAACTAACATTTTTCTCGCGCATTCTTGCGAAGCCATCTCGACATGTAGCAAACCCATAAAGCATACCAACTTAGATTCCCCATCTGGATAAACTCACTGACACCTTTTCTACAGGGCGTACAGAGGGCAGTCTCCCACAAACACTGGAATTTGGCCGGGATTCACGAATTCTGTTGCCTTCATAGCAATATACATAGAATAATATGTTTCTGCAAGTTGCCGACTTCTCGTATAATATAGGAAA